GAAAAAAAGAGAGTTAAAAGTGGGGCAACATGCTGACATATGCTCAACTCATCGAGCTTCATTTATTACAGCATTTGGGAAGCCTGTGGTTGGTTGTTATGTATGATGTATGTATTTATTATATACAACATGTGATAGCAGGGAACCTATCATTCAAAGCTAGGCTGCTACATTACTAATGATGAACACTATAGCTGGAAAAAATAGTACAATAGCAATAGGAGAGACTGTTCATCCCTGAACACCAAGCAGTTCATGTAAGCTTTAGAATGCAATGAAACAATATCCTGCTCCTCTCTACAAGAAACTATCAGAGACAGCTTCAGGGCGGGATTTAACTTTTTCTAGTCCTTAATACACACACCTACACACACACACACACACACACACACACACACACACACGCACACACACACACACACACACAATTCTCCAGCCATCCCACTGCGGCATGTATTTATGCGCCTGCTTGACGCCCCTGTGTCTGATTCCCCTCAGCGTCGTTGCGGTGGTGTGGTCTGCTTAGAGCGCAGCTACATCCCGGTTTTGCGCCAGCTCGGTAGCAGTTGCGGGACGCTCTGCTGTGGAACCGGTAAGCGAGGTTTCCTCTCTCCACTAAACCACCGGTGCATGCAACCTGTTGATACGCATTGTGTCTGCAGCGCGTCGCAGTGGTGGTGCTGCTGCTCGCCCTCCGCCTCGGAGCGGCTTGTGCTGGTCGCCGTGTCCGGAGGTAGAGCCGCTCCTTTGTGCTGCTGCTGCGCTCCTGTCAGCTGAGGTTGAAGGAAAACTTACTGGTTTTGTGTGCAGCTCTAGAGCCGCCTGTGTTCCGGCTCCCACGTCCCCTCAGTCCTCCCCGTATGCTTAGTTTCTTAGTTTTTTTTTGTTTACCAGCAATACCTGCAAATTCTTTTAGTGAGTGTTAGATACCTTTTTATTTCATTGTTAAAAATAAAATTGTAATTTGGGAAGCACGTCTCAAGCTCATGTGTGTTTCGAACCTGTGTGTCCCGTCGATTAAAACAAACTATTTCTTGGGATGACGTTCCCCAGCTGGCGTTGTCTGCTCCGAAAAAAAAGTAGAATTCTACCGTCCTGCCACATCTTGGCGTTGTCAACAGGATTCACACATTTAGAAGAGCTGAGACCTGATTTCCCTGGTGGTATTTTAGCCATATATGTGTTTTGTGGTATTTTTTTTTCTTCTCTGAGGTAAAAACAGCAGCTTCGTTCAACGGACCATAACCTGACCTCAAATGTCAGGACCGGGTCTGGTTTTTGTCTAGCCCAGGGGTAGGCAACCTTAAACACTCAAAGAGCCATTTGGACCCGTTTCACACGGGAAAACCCCACCGGGAGCCGCTAAACCCTTTTGACATCTAAAATGAAGATAACACTGCATCGTTTTTACCTATGTATAAAAAAACTATAGTGTGTTGCATTTATGAAATCAATGAACTGCTACAGAGAAAACGAAATTTTATTTCTGCATCAAAAACATTTTGAACTCAAAAAAAAAAGACGCTGGGTTGAAGGTTACTTTAAAAAAACAACCAAAAAAAAAAAAACTAAATATGTATTTGAGTCCTCTTTGTATTTATGAAATAAAAAGCCGATCTTAAATTATCCACCTGCAGCAAAGTAAAAATGCCGTCTGGTTGTCCTGCTGTCTGCAGCTGGACTTCTGCTCCACACTGCTGACCGCCTGTGAGCGCTTTGGGACGGAGAGGAGCTCACGGCAGCACCGCTGCTCGCTGAGGACAGTGACTGCAGAACGATACGTCTTTTCATGTCAGAGTCTCCAAAACACCAGAAAAGTCTTCAATAACACCAGAAAGAGTCGCTAGATTTATCGCTAGTCATTTTTGACAAAAAAAAATAAAAAATCGTCAAGAGGATTCGGAAAGTTGCCCGATTGAGCGAGAACGTCAAGGTGGCACCACTGCGCGTGCCGGCGGGTGTCGCACATCATGTGACGCATATTTTGAGCAACAAAAAAAATTAAACACGTTTTATTTTAATGTTACAAGTTCACAAAAATCTTCTAATTTAGAATTACATTTTAAAAACTAACGAGCTAATACATTTAAATTAAAATACTCATTATTTTTTTCCAAAGCCACAATTGGAGCCACAGCAGAGGGATAAAAGAGCCGCATGCGGCTCCGGAGCCGCGGGTTGCCGACCCCTGCTCCAGCATAACAGACATTCTCCCCATTGCCAGTCTGGAACGTGTGGAGGAGAGAGGAGGACAAAGCTGACGCTCAGCTCCACATCACATACACGCTAAACCAAAATCGGCTCTTCGGGAGTTTTCGTGCGTTTCCGACCATCGCCCGACAATAGCCGATCTCTAACCGGGGTTTCTGACGTTGTTAATTGCTTTTAGCAAGTTAATTACAGTATGCACGCATGGCGGAGAATAAAACATCGTCCCCGTTTAGCGTGTTTGCGATCTAGACCTGACCGAGCGGACCAGTAAGCTAACTTTACTCCTTCACTTCAACGTGCTGCCCTGCAGTGAAACTGAGGGTCACGTATTGTCACCTTGGTTAGATGAACCGCTGGAGACCTGAATTGATCTCTCTCTGTCTGTCTCTCTCTCTCTCTCCATCACGGAGCGTTTCCTTCGCGAGCGGAGCTGCGGCTTATGTTTATATGCTGTTACTGGGCTCACAGTAAAGTTACTAGTAGTTGTGAGTTGTAGAGGACTGGGATGTTTATTACAACTTCAAGAGAGTCTGCTGCCTTAACTTATCTTGGAAATATACATCTCTCCACCTCTCCTCTCCTCCCCACCGGACAAAACTTTTTCTCCTCTCTGCTCTGTGTGTGTGGTGCTGTGG